AATCAACATCTTGAAGAAATAGTCCATCTCACTCTTATAATTAAAATGCAGAATTCATCTGATGGAAACTCAGGAGTCCTGTTTAATATTAGTGTTCATACTTCTGAGTGTAGCACTAGAACTCAGTCTGTCTTGAATTTCAGGGTGCCCCTCCATTACTCTCCTTAGGAGAGATTTGTGCCAAGTGATTCCTTCTATGCCATTAGTCTTACAATTAACTAATACTATTACTGATTACACGAAACATCCAAAAGCTCCAGTTAGAAATAGGTGCACACTGGGCTGAGTATAGTGTAGAGCTTTTTTTGCCAGAGGGAGGACAATTTTGAGCTGGAAAAAACAACCATGTCTTTAGGACAGGAGGACCAGAGGGTGGAGACAAGAGGAACGGGACCAAAGGCCATGAATCAGGAATTGCCACCAGTCTTAGACCTAACACCTCTCCCTTCTACCTGTCTGTGCTCTTCATGCAGTTTAACAGAGATTGATTGGGTTATGGGTCTGGCTGGTAACAGCTCCATCCAAGCCAGTCATCAGGACTCACTTTAGAGCAATCAGAGGGAATGGGATGCCCACATGCAATATCGATGGACAGATGATGAGCATCCCAAATCCTAGGTAGGATTTGGCTATCCAAATAGAGGTGCCTGGGGTAAGCTGAAAGACATGCAGGGTTCCACAACATTCACATGGGACCCATAAATATAGCACAGGAGACCAGGAAGACCATAGTGGGATGTCAGCTAAAATCCCCAGGACATTGTATGCTGCTCTCTAGGCAACTAAATCCCATAATCTGTGTCCAGCATTCATCTTACCCAAGCTACAGGGCTTTAACTTTAAAAAATGCATGTATTCATACATGTCAGGGCTAGCAGGCGCTGTGTTTGGAGTCCAGCTTCCTGAGGCAAGGCTAACTCTTAGATAGCACCAGAAATGCCAGCAAACTGAAACAAACTGCTGAAATTGTCACCCTTCACATCAGGCCCTGATAACAGTCTGACCACCCTTATTCATACCCAAAGCCCTGGCCATTTTCTCAGGTGTCCTCTGAAGCCTAAGTCATTCTTTATGACCAGTACCTAGCCAAGCGCAGGGGAATCCCTACAGCAATGAAAATCAGAAATCAGAGCAGAAACAGCAAAGGACACATCTGTGTTCCTAAACTGTTCAAACACCCTTGGAAATCTTGTCTGTACTTAGTTTTCTTTAAGGATCAACTTGTTTTCTGAAAAGAACAGAGTGACAAATAGAGGATGTGTTGCAAAAAGCTTTTGTGAAGAAAAACTTACTCCAGGAGGTGCAGTTTGCAAAACACTATGTTTAGTAGCTATATAATAGCAGCATTTTCTGGCAGTTGAACATCACGTTCCTTCTCAAAGGATCCTAAAGCATTTTACAAACACTTTCAACATATGGCCAAGTGTAAAATAGCACCAGAAAAAAAAAAAAAAAGACGACAACTATCCTGTTTGCAGCCTTCTCCCTGATTTTTGCAACCAGCTCATGTGGTCCGGCAGCTTGCTGCCCAAGTTGCAGAAGGCAAAGGCAGGGACTGGGAGAACGGAGAACCACCCACTGTGGGAGAAGATCAGGTTCAAGACCAACTAAGGAAACTGAAGGTGCACAAATCCATGCAACCTCACCGGAAAAGGGGAACATAACCCCTATTTTTAAAAAGGGAAAAAAGGAGGATCCAGGGAACTACCGGCCACCCAGCCTCACCTCTGTGCCTGGCAAGATCATGGAGCAGATCCTCCTGTAAATTATGCTAAGACACATGGAGAATGAGGAGGTGATTGGTGACAGCCAGCATGGCTTCACTAATGGCAAATCATGCCTCAAAAATCTGGTGGCGTTCTATGATGGGGTTAAAGCACTGATGGATAATGGAAGAGCAACTGACATCATCTACCTGGACTTGTGCAAAGCATTTGACACTGTCCCGCACAACATCCTTGTCTCTAAATTAGAGAGACATGGATTTGACAGATGGACTGCTTGGTGGGTAAGGAATTGGCTGGATGGTCACACTCAAGGAGTTGAGGTCAACATCTTGATGTCCAAGTGGAGACCAGTGACAAACGGCCTTCTTCAGGGGTTGATATTGGACCAGTGCTGTTTAGCATCTTTAACATCCCTCATAGCGAAGAATTATCTAATCTACATCTACCCACTTTCAATTTACATCCATTACCCCTTGTCCTGTCACTACAGGCCCTTGTAAAAAGTCCCCCCAGCTTCCTTGTAGCCCCTTCAGGTACCGGAAGGCTGCAATGAGGTCTCCTTGGAGCCTTCTCTTCTCCAAGCTGAACAAGCCCAATTCTTGCAGCCTTTCATCATAGGAGAGGTGCTCCAGCCTTCTGATCATCTTTGTGGCCTCCTCTGGACTCACTCCAACAGGTCCATGTCCTTCTGATGCTGGGGACCCCAGAGCTGGACACAGCACTCCAGGTGGGGTCTCACAAGAGCAGAGCAGAGGGGGAGAATCCCCTCCCTCGCTCCCCTGGCCACACTTCTCTGGATACAGCCCAGGATACGGTTGGCTTTCTGGGCTGCCAGCGCACACTGCCGGCTCATGTTCAGCTTTTCATCCCCCAGTATCCCCAAGTCCTTCTCAGCAGGGTTGCTCTCAATCCCTACATCCCTCAGCTGGTATTGATACAGGGGAGGCTGCCCCGACCCACGTGCAGGACCCTGCACTTGGCCTTATTGAAATCCACTTCCCAAACTTGTCCAGGTCCCTCTGGATGGCATCCCAACCCTCAGGCATGTCAACCACACCACTCAGCTTGGTGTCATCTACAGTCTTGCTAAGGATGCTCTTGATCCCACTGCCTGTGTCATTGATGAAGGTATTAAGCAGCACATGACAGTTACAGCAGCACGAAGCCCAGGCACCATGTAGAGACATTACTCCTGTCCTGGTTTTGCAAAAAAATTAAAAATTAAATATTTTTCAAAAAGACACCTTTGGATTTGACACATTTTGCTGGGATTTGGGATTCTCCTTGAAGGTCCCACACATAAATATTGGTTTATCTTGTAAGATCAGACAAGTGTACTCTCATATAGTCTCCTAAAGCCTTTCCTTAACTCATGTTTAATTCATTACTAGAGGAAGACATGCTCACAGGCATGGATAAGCTCTCATATTTTTCTCCTTAATTAAGAGGCACAAAATGAGGTTGATTCCCCCTAAATGGGCAGAATAAAGTGATGCTCACACAGAAATCATTTATTCGGCCTCCTGCCTTCCCAGCACCAAAACCAGGGGCTTAGATAACACCAGACACTGAATTCAGCTCCCCTTGCACTCAGCTTTCACACTGCAAATAAAGAAGCCTTATTGACCTAATCCTGCCATTTTTGTCATGTTTGCCCCAAAGTAACTCTCCTCTTGGGCCATTCAAGCATTCCAGTGTTTTACGTTGCAAAGATGTTCCTATTAGAAGACAAACTCCAACCGCATGGCACAGCAACTGGGATTTGCTGAATTTAAATTTATGACCGTCATGCAATAATTAAAATAAGCGGGTATAAGTCTGACATGCTGAGAAGAGGCAGCAAAACAGCTGTTAGTTATAAACTTTGGAAAAAAGAAAAAAAAAGTATGTTTTATGAGCCTCATCGGAAACATTCTTCACTCTTTCATACAGACAGGAATAAAATTTACACATCACGCATTCCCTATTGTGATCAAATCCCTACCCCACACAATGCATTTTTGATCTTGAAACTGCAAATGCAAACTTTAATGGAGTTGGCGGATTGAAGCGTTCCATGAAATAAACGGCAGAGAATCAAAACCCTCCGCACGCCACTCCCCATCACAACACAGGGCTTCCCGAACCCACGTTCCTGCCGAAAGCCAACGCATAAATCTTCCCACCTCTCACAGCCTAGCACAGCTTTCACGTTGCAAGCAAATGAGCCACTGCCTGGGTCATTAGCAAAGCATTCCCAAATTAATGTGGCTAATTCGAGTGAATCTCAGCTGGTTGAGGAGCCTGGATTCCTCACGGAAAGCTGCCAGCACCTCCCTGCAGAAAAGATGAAGGTGGCACCAGGGTTCTGCGGCATGCCAGCCAGGACGGGGCACAGTGGGTGCCTTCTTCCAAGTCCATGGGTGTTTTGGGGTGCCCCAGTGCAAGGGGAAGGAACCCAGAGGGTCCCCAGGCTGGATGAGCCAGGGACAGTGATGAGGAGGGTGCCATGGTCCACCAGGTACCCAAGGAAAAGGTGACAGTGGGACTGCACTGGGGACAGGGCACACACCTCCCCAAGCATCCCCTCGCACCCACGGCCATGCTGCGTGTCGCACTGCAGCAAGGATGTAACTGTTAGAAACCAGACGAGCACAGCTAGAAATCAGGATTATCTGAGCGTCATGATTAACAGCAGTGCAGATTTGGATGGGAAATTAAAGCTGGTGCCTCAGGGCTGAAGCACATCTCTAACTACTAAAAACCAGAGTTGGGAGAGGGTGGGGGGGAAAAGATGTGGAAGCAAAATTATCTCTCATTTTCACTACAGGTCCCCGAAGTAGGTTTTTCTCCCTTGTGGCTTGTGATCAGATGAAAATTTTGGTGCAAGGCTCACAGAAAGCTGGCTAGTTGATGGAAACTTTCATATTCATAGCCCTACGTTTTCATGGTTGTATTCGATGCCTTTGCACAGTTCTAACAGAATAAGACACATTAAAAATAATGTTGGAGAAATCAATGCTGATCACCCTCAGCCCCTATAAAACACTGCAAGAAATCAGTTCTCAGAATGGAAAGCCTGCAAATAAAACTGCATTTTATACAAACATCTCACTTTTGACCTTTCACAGTGATGTATTAGAGCAACGGCTTTTCCTGCAAAAGTTTAACATAAGCTGCATGTTTAACATTAAACGTTTAACAAATATGTTTAACATAAAAGTTTAACAAAACACTGCACGGTATTTATTCATTGTGGGTTCTGTAAGTGAAGAAAAGATGTGCATCTTTTACCTTGAACACTTCCATTGGAAGAGGAAAATTTGCTGCATCATTAAGGGATTTTTCCAGAGCGCATTTCCACTCAGATATAGTCTTCAGAGAATAGATATCTAAAGCGATGTCAACAGAAAAAAACAAAACAAAACAAAAACAAAACCAGGAGGTGACTGTTTGGGGATCAAACATTTTTGAAAGACTTAAGTTCTTATGTCACAAAAATGGATAGTACAAGTGAAATGAACAGTGTGTATATCCCAAGCTGTACAGCATGGATAAGTTCAACACAAAAGCAACTACCAGGGGCACATTTGAGGAAGATTGTGTTTTATATCCTGGAGTAACATCCAGAAAAATACACATCCTTCATTTTCTGCCAAAGAAACAAGAATCTCATTACTTGAAAATAACAAAAACTCTCCTTTGATTTTCAGTTCTCAAAATACCTGATGTTTTCCAGTTTGAGGAGCCTCAGGTCTTCAGGCAATATTAGTTACATTTGAACAAAGGCACAAATATCTTTACAAAGGCTTCTCTTCATAGGAAAGTGTTTGGTTGGTTTTTGTTGTTTGTTTTTTTTTTTTTATTGCAGGGCTGGGGTTTTTTTGCAGTGAGTAGGGGTAGGTGTGGGAAGGAACATTTCAGCTAGATTTCTACCCAGACTCATTTGTTGGTACCACGCTTAGACCAGACTATCACGCTAATTCAAAGACTTAGACTTATGAATTTTCATCATTACACTTTTAGGCAACATCTTTGTGCAGATTCACATTGCTTTCACAGAGTTTCTTTAAATAGGTTTAATACTATTAAATTATTGTATTAAAAAGCCCTTTATGGTTCAGTGCAGTGAAATGCCTATGAATCATTAAATGAAACAATGTAGGAAACAATACTATGATGAGGAACATTATATTGGATTTATTTCTGCCCTAGAAAACATATTGTTATCCTGCACATAACAAGTTATTGCAGAACATTCATATCAAGGCCTTAAAGAGACAAGATAGGTAGATAGATTGCAACAATTATTAAAATGGAAATGAACATTTACTCAATAATAAACTTGAACCTTGATACGGAGTGAATAGTGTGAAGCTTTTCTTTTGTCAGTTTGGCTTCACACCCTTACATCACAGTTCAATCCAGCCCAATTTGCATTTAAATTCTGTACATCTAATAACCACATATATTTACTACCTAGCAAAGATTTACTGCTGTATCTTACAATTCTGAAGGAGGAAATAAAAAATATGTATAAAAAAGGAACTGGCAAGCACTGTTTTCACCTAGCACTGACAGTACAAGAGAATTTTATGCTCTGATCTCAACAGATTTAAGATCTTATCAAAATAGGATTTGCAGAATCACTCACTGGAAGTGGATGTATTTATACTTCCACTATATCAAACCTCGCTACTTCAGAACAGACATCAAGGATATGCATATGAATTTAAACACACTTAAAGGGAAATGTTAACCTTTCAGGGCTGTATTTTGAATTCCTCAACTGTCTGGTTATTAATGGGAACATACATTTCAAGTCTTTGTTTACAGCACATGCAGCAGTCACAACTGTTAAGAAGTGCACTCGTTATCTAATTGTTCATTATTTTATAGCCCTGTTGCTCCAGCCCTCCCTTACCTGCAGATGCTCTGATCAGTTTTAAGTGCAGGGAGGGAACTTACTCACCTAATTTCTTCTTTTTGGCTTCAATGATGCAAAACAGGGAAATACTCAATACAACATGATTTTCCCCAAGTTGCAGCTGTTGTTTCAACTAAAAAAAAGTCTGAATTTTGGAAAACCCTGCTGGATGCTTCCCTGCACACCAGACAGAGCAAGATGAATACAGACCCTCTGTTTTTCTACCGAGATGGCAGTGAAGCATAGGAAAGGGGAAAGTGGCATTTTGGGCTAGTTTGCCCAGAATCAGTGAAAACAAGCAGCAATTTCTTTGGGCAGTGTCAACACACTTCACGAGATAAAGGCAACTGCAATGGTTTCAATAATCAGCAAGAAATATCATGCACGCATTTAATTAGTGGCATCTAGTTTAAGCGGGCACGTATATGGACACTAAATCTCACAGTTAAAGGGGCATTAAGCATTTTCTTTAAGGGATAAGGCTGCAGGTAATTGAACAAAGTGTCCTGTGTCAACTTGTATTTCCCTTAACAAGGAGTGAGCAATTAAAATGACTGCCAATTTGTCTTTAAATAGAAAGCAACATAAAAGGAGACAATCTCTTCTTGCATAAACAGTCGAGGCAAGACCATCAGTGGCTCTGTGTCAAGCAGTCTGTGCCAATTTGCACTAGCAAGGAGGTTTAGTTTGGATTCAGATACACATCTGCAGGGAAAAACATGCTGTGACCCCTCTGCCTCAGTTAAAAGGGCTCCGAGACATACAAAGCCTGGAAGTTGCCATTTGGAGAAGACAGCCAGGATGCTATTTCCTAAGGTCCCTCTTCCACAATATATTAAGTGGGTGCTAGGATGTGGATGGCTTGAGAAAAGAGACACGAATTACTGTAGACATCTGGATCCATGGGATCTTTTATATGAGAAGCTCTGCATCTTGAAAGACTAACCTCAAACTGCTGTGCAAGGCGAAGCCCAGCCTGGCAGGTCCCAGAGGTGGATCAACACAGAAAAATCACAGCCCAGACACAAAGGGAAATAAAGCCGAAGGTGCATATGCAGCATCCAAGGCAAGGGTAGGCAAAGCACTGTCACAACCTGCAGAACTGATGTGCAACTGAACATCCTCCTTCGATAGCAACTGAACACACAGCAGTATCTGGGAGGGGCTGCGTGTCCTCAGCATCTCTTTGGAGAAGATTCATAACAGCTTTGATATACAGGCTACGGCTGTTGCTGTTATCAGTCAAGGAGTGATGGCAACTGGTTTCAGATGTTCAGAAGTTAGACAACCAGGTCTGCGTTTGCTGCTTTCAATCCCCTGAGTGGAAAAAAGTAGGCTTACGAAGAAACTAGATGATCTTTAAGGTCCCTTCCAACCCTAACCATTCTATGATTCTATGTCATTTCATCTGACCTATGTCAGATGTGTCTTAGGCATCCACTTTTCTCCACTGTCATGAACAGAAAGCAGTAACTCATGCCAAGCTGTCTTCTTGATGCCTACACTATGGCAGGTGAATCTAATCCCTGATGTGTAAAAAAACAACATAATGCCCACAGACTGCCTCTCTTTCCTAAGATCCATACTAGGTCTTTCACACAACCCAGATCTTTCTAGTCCAAATCCTGTTTTCTATGGAAGTCACTAGGAAGGAGGTAAGCAGGCAGGGATGTGTCCCTGGCACACTCTCCTGGTTCGGGCCCTTAGGAAATTGCATCCTTTGACAGTTTGTGGTTCAGTAGCTTTATCCCCGAGTTTCTCTAGAGCTTGCTGCTGCCAGCATTGCATCCTGACAACGCACTACTTCTTGCACGCCTGCTTGCTCCAAGATTGCTTTTACAGACTCTTTAATTTGAAACAGATCCCCTAAGACCAGCCACTTGGCTTTCTCCCTCTGGATTAATGTCTCACGTGCTTTATCCATCCCCTGTGCTTTATGAACATGTTGATGTCAGGTGGACATCAAATGGCTGATAGTCCACTATGTTAGAAGTGGAACAATCAGCATCCCTGCCTCAAGAAACTCATCAGATTCCCATTTCTGACTGGTGACTCCCTGGAGCGCAGAGCCTGACAACAGGGTAGACCAGAAGAGGGGATCAAAGACAGACCCTTGGGAGCAGTCAGTGGTCAGGAGAGGACTTGTGAGAAAATGGAAGGGTTCAGACCCAAAGGGTCTTTTCTCTGCAAACTCCTATGAGACCCAGCTTTAGGAGATGTAAAGTAACAACCACCTATTTAAGTGAACAGAAGTCAGGAAGAAGATCTGGACACTGAATTAATTAATAACAATGTTCACTAAAGAGTTAAGTGTCCAGAGAAATGCCAAGAAGAAACATATCACATGAAGACAGATAAGAACAAGAGATTTTAAAAGCAGTTAAATCAAGGAGAGGGGAGAAGAAACATAAACAACTTCTGCAAACAAAAAGTGAAATGACGAGTTTAGAGACAAGACAAAAAAAAATATGGAGAGGAATCTATGGAGAAAAACGCATGACTGGATAAAAGGAGAAGAGAGTCAAAAGAGAATGGAATAAAAAAAGAGGAAGCACAAATCTTGTTTGGGCCATTTCTCTATCGATTCACCAAACCTTTACAGGCCAAGAGGGCTCAAAGACAGTCAATAAAAAAGTCTTTCTCTGTAACACAAATGCTCTGTAAAGTAACAGAGTGAGTGATATTCATGCTCTTCAGCACTCACATCTAATTTAAAAGTTATGGGGAACATTGATTCCTACCTATCAGTGAAGAGAAACACATGCTTCCAAAAAGCATTCAAGACCCCAAGTTTGACCCAAGAACCACAGAAACTTGTGAACATGACAATTGCATGTATCGGGGTAACCACTCTGTGTCAGGTGTGGGACGGAGACAGCACATCAGAAATGCCTACCCAAAGGAGGGTTACCTTTCTCCTATCATTTGATACCCATGGGAAAACTTCACCCATGGCACAAGCAAAATGAGGCACGAACATGGATAATTTGTTCACCTACACAGGAAAAGATAGAACAGGTCTGCTAGGCCAAAACCCGTGCATTAACCAAGAAAGCACCTAGCCTCTTAAGGAAATCGGCAGTCCTGGGGCATCCAGCTTGGAGGTGCAAACAGCTAGTAAATAGCAGCCATGCTCCACAGGACTTGGCAAACAGCTTTGTGGCTCCAAATACAGGCCACAGCTTTATGAAAAGTAGAGATGCTGCACGCTTTCTGCCCCAAAGACAACCATGCATGCAACAGTCTAAGCTGTCATATTCAACCAGATCCCTAATTCCAAGAGATGTCAAGTCATCAGCTTGACTCAACCAACTCATCAGACCAACACAGAGCCAAACACCTTGACTAGAGAGAACACAAATTGTCCAGAGACTTCTACAAAGTTTTGATCAATATTATTGGTGCAGTGGAGATAATCCACTCCCTCAGTCTTCCTCCACTGTAATGGGGTATAGCCTGGATGGAAGCATGTTTCCAAAGCAAGGCCAAGACAACACCACTAAATGCCTCTGGAAGTGTTCCTTCAGGAGGCTTCAAACAGCCCTGAGCCCCTGCCATGTGCTGTGGTCCTCAGGCCTTACCCTGCTTGCTAAACCTTAGTAATGCTTAGTTCTCCCATGCTCTTATAGCCTTGTACCCCTTCTTGTCCTGCAGGTTTGGATCCTGCTCCTTTTGCCAAACACGGTCCCACTGTTTGGTGACTAATTCCAGCTGACCCCTAAACTCTACTCCTGGCCCAGCCTGCTTTTGCCTGACTCTTCTGCCTGGCTCCTGTTCCTTGAACTTATCTTACACCTGGATTTGTGGCTTCCAGTTTCTGACATAAGCCTGGCTTAACTGCAGTCCCACTTCCCTCAACCTGCTGGCCACGCTTCTCTGGATACACCCCAGGTCATCTTTATGGTCTTTTAAATCTGAAACACCCCATCTCAAAGGAATACTTTCTTAGCTTCTAGCAACAGACACCCCATAACCCCTCGATGAGCAGGTTGACATGGACAGGCAGACGTAGCCAGCACCCTCTCTGCACTTTGGTTACACACAAGGCAGGTCTCTCTTGACAGTGATGTTATAGCAGAATATGAAACACTTGTGTTAGAGAGACCATGAGGGTCTCAAAACCCCTTCTCCAGTCCCAGGACATTTCCTGGAGGTCTACTGTTACACAAGAGGAATGTGTGTGGCCATGGAAAGACAGACTAGCAAGAGGTCTTTGGGTGAGAGAAAAACAAATGGAGCCTAGTATATGCTGAGAGGGGTCACCTAGGACTGGATTTGGACAGCAGGAAGACTGCCTCCCAGCGAGGGCTGCACCAGGATGCCTACAGTATGGCTCTGACGTGCCATCTGTGTTACAATGAGAAACTGCTGTCAAAGCAATGTGAATTCTGGAGAAGAAGAAATGGGTTGCATGAGTATCTCAAAACATCTGCAAATGCCACAAAGGGAGACAGTATTTTTAGGAGGCTCTTTACCTGCAGGTGGGTCCATTCTGTATTTATTCTCTTGACACCAACCGACTGGTCGAAGTCTGCAATCCAAGTAAAACAACCACTGGTCATAGGATTCAGTCTCCTCCAATCCCACATAGCGAAGGCGTAATCTTCCTCCAACATTTTCAACCACACTAACTATCCAGTACTGAAAGGGATTCTGGGAATCCTGCAGCTCTATTAAGGAATCAACTGTAATGAGGTCTACAGGGTTTTTTCCTCGCAGAGGCTGTTTGAATAGAAGCAAAACTCCTTATTTTAAACTTTATTTGAAGACTTCTCAAGGAAACAGATGACAGCAGAAGATTATTTTTGTTTTTCACACCATCATCCAAGCGATCAGCAAACAGTCTGTTCTTCTTCTATTTTACCCAATGTCTTCCAAGTGCAAATTCAGAAGTAAAACAGAAAACAACAGTTGTGCTAATTTCTCAACCGACATCATCAACAACAACAAAAAAAGAATAATAAAAGGTGGAACAGCTGATAAGGCACATCCACTTAAGATGCTTACGAACAACTCAAAGCCCAGTTATATTGGAGGATTTCAAACCAAATTCTCATTGACTGCAGCTGATAAGAACTAATCCCAGGACTGGACATTGGCATTTACCTAAAGGCATCCAATTTGGGCATGACCCTGAAACTGCCCTCTGTGCACTGATCTTACTCATCAAAGACTTTCTCTCATTCCTACTGGCATGTGGAGCAAATTATTCCCCATTGCCATGGATGCAAGAGTCTATGGTGGTTACCCCAAAGCTCAATGCCAATGGCAGGTTCCCACCAGCTTAAGTGGCCTTGGGATCAAGCCCAAGGCACACAGGATTTGCTGGATTAAGCCACCATGCCCAAGAAACCCCAATAAATGAGGTTATTTGCTTATATACAGTATTTTCTGTGATCCCAGTTTTGCAACCACTTACATATGTGCTTAACTTTACACCTGCAAAGCTGCCAACCACAGGCATTAAAAAACCATGAGATGCTTTTCAGAATGATACCTTTGGGGCTCAGTGGTTTTGTTTTGTGATTGTGAGCATCTCTGTGTTGTCAAGCTTTTCTCTGCTAATGTAACGGCTAGATTTCAATTCAAGTTCCAATTCTCAGGCAATTTCTTGATTCCAGGGCTTTAAGAGCCGCACTAAAAATCACCCCAAGAGTTGGACGCATTAGTCCCCAAAGGAGATGCTAAGCACAGGCAAAGTGTAATAAAAACAAGGACTGTCTATCTGCCTGTGTGTTTGTCTCACTTCTACTTAATTAAACAATATTAACCTTTCACAGTATCTTTTAAAATATTAATTCTGTAAATCTGAGTCAGACCAGGATGATTCTTTCTAGGGATGGCTAGAAAAAAGGAGAGGAGAAAGCCTTATTTTTCAAAAAAGGTCCCTTTCCTATTGAATTTTGAAAATACTCAATATTTTGAAATGCAACCGATTTTCACTACATCTCTCAATACAAAAATGCAATCCACAGAATGAGAATTTGGTTAAAATGTAATTAAAATTTACTAAAACCTTATCACATGTACAGTTTTAATCAGCTCTATGATTAATAGATAGTTCTCAGAACAATGTATTTGTCATTATAAGCCACTCCTTTATAGTGTAAGCTACAAGCACCTGTATAATCTCTTCAAATATTATTTCATGACACAATGCAGTGCCAGAATTTAATAATATAATAGAAATCTACTTTAATGATTTTTTTTTCTCTTATACAACTGCTTCGTTGCAAGAAAACATTCTTTAATATGAAACAATGGTGTAATGATTTAACTTATTATAATAAATCCCTGGCTGTAAAAAAGCGAATAATGTTTCTCTGACTTGTGTGCTAAATTTTAAGCCAATGGGTTGTCACTTATCCCTGAGAACGGAATGGCTAAGATTAATAATTGGCTTGCATGAAATACTAACATTTACCATAACGCAAGAACTCTTCATACTCAGAGCTAGCATGTAAAAAAAAGAAGTACCACTACATATTGTTTTAACAGTATAACAACAATCTGCAGCACTCACGAACAGCAAATCTGTCGACAGGGGGTTACATACATTGCATGACAGACAGCACGAAGCACATATATTGCATAAAACACCAGAAAAGGGTCAGAAACTGTTTCAAGCCAATGCACTCTTTTCTCTCTCTGCAGTTCTGCCGGGAGCTGCCTCTTTTCTCTGCCTGTGGCACAGGAACGCAGAGGTTCGCGATGGTATTGGAATACACCACAGATGGGTGTTGGACACCACCAGCTTTTTGCATATGCCATCTGGGAGCGGTCCAGGAACAGGGATGCAGCAGACCTGAGAACGTGCAATATTTTGGGCGTGCAAAGGCCGTTTGCCTAACAGATTGGGGTGGGGGGGGGAGAATCTCTAATGGTATGACATTAATTCTCCCTGCCAGGCTGCTCATACATGTGGAAAAAGGATGCAGCTGTGGCAGGTGGGAATGACCAGGGACAAAATGGTCAAAAATGGTGTCTGGGTGCACATGTGCTTTCAAAAAGCCAACATGAGTGCTTACACATAGGTAAATCGCCTGTATGCCTTTACTCTCAGCCTAAATACAGAGGGGCAGAGAGAACTCTATCTCCTACAGGACAGACTGCCACCTCTCCAAATGCCTGCACAGCACCCATGTGAGAGCAGGGCAGGTCCCCATGGAGAGAAGGTGCCCTTCTCCCATGGTTCTAATGTGAATCTGCAGGATATTTGTCTAAGATCTGAAGGCAAGCTGAAGCTGCCCCTGGTGTAAGTCACGCTGTGAATATGCTGCACAGACTGGGCTCTTGGCCTTATGGGTGCATCTGAAAAAACAGACCCTTCTTCTCTCCTGATGACTGAGGTCCCCTCACCCAACTTCCCTGTGAAATCTGACTGCTATGTTTAGGTGGAGGGAATTGTTGTAACACCTTGGGGAACTGAGCAACTCCTTGAGGGAGCTACTTCCATATACACATAAACCTGATAGTGCTCCCCATCAACCAACTAACCCCCCGTCTCCAACCTGTGTCCTGACTTGAAAACTCAGGTCACCAGTTCAGTGGGTCTAATGGGACTCTGAAGGGCTGTGTCCTCCTTCCTATGGACTCCCTACATGCTCTCCATCGCCACCCAGCCTTTTTTGGGTACCCAGATTTCTAAGTACCACCCTCCAGCTTCAAGGCAAAGCAAACTACCCATCACTGGGTCAGAGGCAGAACTGGCAGAGTCAAGGCAACGCTGTGTTGGGTTGATGGTTGGACCAGATGATCTTATCATTCTTTTCCAACCTTAGTGATCCTGTGATTTTGGCCGGCGCTGGATCAGACCCCACTGCCAGCACACAGACGCTGCAAGCACACAGCCCTACACATCGGGAGTGCAAACACTGCTGCAGCACACACACCGTGACACCGTATCGGATAGAAACTGCAATCTAATACATACGCCTTCCAGTAAATTTGCAGGTGCAGTCCGGGCGCCGGTCAAATCGTGTATGAGAAACTCCGTCCAGTCCATGTATTTCTCTTTGATTGCTGGGGAGGGGGAGGAAAGAAAAGAAATGCTTAGCACAGCAGACTGCAATGGACTTGACACATTTCCTTGGGGTTTACCAGCTCTAAAGTTTCAGATACAACTGCAATCCAGATTAGGAGAAAAGGGAGAAAAGCTGGTTTGTTGCCCAGTTCCTTGGGCAATCCATGCACACAGTTACACCCCAAAAGGAGGGAAGGTGTCGCTCCACTGTAGTCACTGACAGTGATTTACAACAGTGTGGCTTATCATCTCCATCTCTCCCATTGAAAACTGGCCACTGCTTGTGTAACCGCCTGTTGCCTGCTTATCACGCAGGCTCAGATATGATTTATAAAGCCTCTTTGTATGTTCACTAATGACCTGTGAGAAAAAGAAAACTGCAAACTTTCAGTTCCTCAACATGACAACAGAAACTCCAGGTGCTTTCCTTCACAAAGCAGAAAAATCAACCCTGAGAACACCATGTGTTGGCTTGCTGTGTCAATACACTTGCAAGAAGAAAGACAAAGAACTTATCAGAAATGTCTATGTCATTTTGAAAAGAAACGGAATAATTTCTGAGCTGAACACCATAAGCCTGTGTTACTTTAGGGTCTGTATCCACACGGTTTCATAAGTTTTGAACTGAAATATATAAATGTTGCCTCTGGGATTCAAATTCTGGTTCAATTCTTGTTGAAATCGGTAAAATTTGGGCACCAAAAGGCAATTCAGCACATCTCAGCTTCAGAGATGTCTCTTCAAATGCACTGCGCATTTGCAACTGGAAACTCAGAAAGCAGACCTTAATTCCATCTGCCTGTAAATAGTAATTAAAATTACATCAGAAACATTTCTCTCTCCCCTCCCTCCAAAACCAACTCCTGTGTGAGACAACACAGAAGTTTTTGTGTTATAGTTATGTTGCTAGCAACACCTGTAGAAGAGAAAAACCCCAAGCATTTGAAAACTAAAACATTTCCTCTAAACAAACAACTGGATACATGCTTTGAAGACCATCAGCCCTCAGGGGAGCCCAGGAAGGGCTGTAATTAGCCAGCATAGGTTCAGAATAATTAAATGACAGCAGCCGGTTGACTCAAAGGAAGCGGTGTCCTTTGCTCCAAACTTCGGGGAAATACCACATCAGAGAACAACGAGAAACCCAGTCTGAAGCACTTTGAACTTTCATAGGCATCAGGGTGGGACTTCTACAAGTTTTAAAAGCTCAGTGAGAGTGTCAGCTACTCGACATGCTGGCAGCCCAGAAAGCCAACCGTATCCTGGGCTGTATCAGGAGAAGTGTGGCCAGCAGGTCGAGGGAGGGGATTCTCCCCCTCTACTCTGCTCTGGTGAGACCCCACCTGGAGTGCTGCATCCAGCTGTGGAGCCCTCAACATCAGAAGGATACAGACTGGTTGGAGCGAGTCCAGAGGAGGCCACGGAGATGCTCAGAGGGCGGGAGCACCTTTGCTGTGATGAAAGGCTGTGAGAATTGGGCTTGTTCAGCCTGGAGAAGAGAAGGCTCCGGGGAGACCTTATTGCAGCCTTCCAGTACCTGAAGGGGCTACAAGGAAGCTGGGGGGGACTTTTTACAAGGGTCTGTAGTGACAGGACAAGGGGTAACAGGTTTAAATTGAAAGAAGGTAGATTTAGATTAGATAGCAGGAAGAAGTTCTTCCCGGAGACGGTGGGGAGGCACTGGGACAGGGTGCCCAGAGAAGCTGTGGATGCCCCATCCCTGGAAGTGTTCAAGGCCAGGCTGGATGAGGCTTTTGAGCAACCTGGTCCAGTGGAGGGTATCCCTGCCCATGGCAGGGGGGTTGGACCTAGATGATCTTTAAGGTCCCTTCCAACCCAAACCATTCTGTGATTCTATGAAATATTGCCACCATTACCCCCAGAGAAGGAGACCAAACCTGAGCCTTCTCCAAATGCATCCTCAGGCCACCTGCTGCCAAACACTGAATTAAAGAAATGCAAAGAAGGAGCATTGGGTTTGCCCAAAGACAGTTATATGATATTGCCACAAAACCTGGCACAATATGCTTGTGGTTGGGCTTCCATCCAGCATGGGTGCTTGGCACACTTGGACTCTGGCCCTTACTCAATTTATACCCTAAATACCTTATGCAACCCATACAGTTGGCCATGCCCAAAAACAGAAGCCATGCCCAGAAGACCTTCCATCAGACCTCATTTCTGAGCTGTGCTCCTTCCCCAAAAGCCTGTTCTCCCAATGTCACTTGAACTATACATTTGGTTTATAGACCTAAATGCCTTTGGAAGTGCATTTAAATGCATTTAAAATTAGCAAACCTTAAAGTGCTGGACTTGATCCTCTATAAAATAATACTTGGACTTGCCTGGAACTGTTTTAAGTCTTTTGCAGAACTGATTTTGCATGATTTCCAGGAGATTTGTGACCTTTACATTATTAAAGATGAAGTAATAGCCTGAGAAGAAATGGTTTATACATGGCACTTTCTCTCTCAACATTCCTGTTGCATACACACCATCACTTCCTGTCCACCTACATTAGGATAAAGAAAACAAGCTTAATTTTGGCATCAGTGAGAAGATAGTAATTGCTGTAATGAATGAGGCTGGAGTCCCACTAGTTCAGACTTCTGCCTCTCGCTGCGAACAGCATTGGGTGCATCAGAGAAAGGTGCAATTTGAACTTCATTTTGGCTTATACCCACAAAGTTGTCAGCCAAATTTTGAATGCCAGAGCTTCATTACCAAGGAATGACAAATGTGATAAGAACGTGGTTCGAACTTTCAAAGCTGGCAGGAGAGAGAGGGGAGGAAAATGGGATTTTCAACAGATTTCAGGGGCCTCCATTTCCAGATGCCCAATTTGAGATGTCTTAACAGTGCCCGACTCACGGATCTTGCTGTCTGACAGTCAGTCCCCCTTCAAATGCTTCTCAAACAATAATAAAAAAATATCTCTTGTCCTTTTAAAAAGACTCACAGCTTTTTAACACCTAAATAAGAAGGTGCCCCTCTCCACATTCAAATATGGGTTATGGGCTTCCAAAGTCCAAAAGTGCCAAGGCGACCTTTCTTTTCAGACTAAACAGACTCAGCTGAAAAAAACAGCTACTCCTGGCTTCCGAGTGGTTTCAGAGCAGTTCTCCCCAGGCAAATCTAGTATCTGGTGCTTTGCTTTACTTTACTGCTCTTTCACGGTGTAGATAAAGGGGCTCTGAAAACCTCTGAAAGAGAACAGAATGCACTGCTAGTTTTAGGAACAGGGATTTGCATTTTTTTCCTGTGCTTGTACAGCACAATCAGCCTTCTCAGCACTACAGTTCCAGTCAATACAATGCAAATATTAATTTTTAGTAGTAATGATGTGAATCTAAATCATCATGGTATCTGCAAAAGCCTTCAAGGACCAAGCATTATGTTAAACAAGAATATTCAAACAAAGGAAAATCCGCTGCATAACTGAGAATAACTGGCAGGGTAATGCATGGGTGCCCAACCTGAGCATCCATCTCAAGGAATGACGGTGCTTCTCTGATGTATCAGACTCAGCACCTGTGAACTGAAGCACTGATTTTCAAATCACTAATTCATGTTTTCGCTTGTTAGCTACAGGAAAAGACCCAACCAAACCTCTCCTACTACAGATCAGGATGGAAGAACTCTGCTTTTAGACACCATCTGCAGCTGGCTGGCCAATCCAATGGGATGGGAAAGTGGACAGGATAAAGAATGCTGTTCCATGGGGACCTAAGCTTCACTAGCACTGCTAGTTTCAAAACAATTTTTCCTTCCTTAACTTCAGGGATTCAGGAGTGGTCCATGTGGCTCAGATATCCATGCTGTCTCTGCCTTTCAATGGATCCATCCTCCCCAAAAACCTCTGTGAACTTCCTCCATCCAGCTGCGTCAAGCTGAATGCACCTCCAGGATCTCAGCTGACGTCCAAGGTGCCATGAGAGGCAGAGGAAACACACAAAAAATAAAGCAAAACCAAACATCTCTCAGAGAGAACCATTGCATGCAGGGAGGTAGGTGCTCCTACAGTAGCCAAAAGCCAGAGGACAAAATGTGTCCTTCAAACCTCCAAATGGAAATACTCTGACAAGTCCCACACTCCAACCACAAAGTGTGATGGGCACAAGCAGTAATTTAGAAGCACGCAATTGATGTCACCCTAATTCATGTCATCCTAGCTCTTACTGAGCTGCATAGACTCCTCTTACTGAGTTGCATTGACTCAAAAGGTGATAAGAAGTCTACATAGTAAGAAAGTCCCTGGTATTCTGCCTGGGTGGCACAGGAGGAAACACCCCTCGTTCTTCACAATCCAGGGAGCTGACAAAACAGGGAGGAAGACTTTTACCAATGCACAAAATCCTCTCCAAGCAGGGGTGAGTACTGAAAGCTACCTGTCCCTTTGCACACCCACCCTTCTCTCACCAGGCATGGCTTCTCTGTGAAGATGGACCTTGGAAAGGGACTGTCACCCACACCACAACGGGCCTCCAAATGACAAGAAAGCATTTGAGATATTCTAGTTACATCAAGCCTACTTTGGAAATTATATCCTAAGCAGCGATGGCTTGCTTGACCAAGAAAACTAACATAATCACAGAGACTGGTCCTCTAGAGCCGTAGGCTTTGATGCTCTAAGAGAACAAAGCTTGACCAAGAGCCACAATATTGCTACGAGCAACACACCGGCCTTAGTGCCAGTCCCTTTGTCCGGCACAGGGTCTGCTGCGCACAGAAGTTACCGATACGAGACTGTGCAATGGTCTGAGACCCTGGGGCCAGCTGCCATCACATCAACCATTGTGAAAGGATTCAAGAGAAGCACAGACATGGTAGCAGCAAAAAACTGACTCAGTTTAGTGATCCTGCTGATGCAAACACCACAGTGTGAGCTGAACGATTAAACACTAGAAAATCCAGAGTGGAGACAGGCGTTAGCAATGCTCTCACCAGGGAAAAAGCATCGGTCAGAGCTTGCACCATTTAGGCGCAGTACAGTCCAAAC